CCAGTACAGTCCAAGTAACTTTTGTGCAAATATTTAAAGTAAAGTAGACATTTTTTTAATAATATAAGTGTTTTCATTAAAATTTAAAAGATTTATAATAATTAATAAATTATAAAATTTTAGGGTTGGACTTCTGTCAATTTGTGTGTTCAGTTTTTTTTTAATTTATTGTTAACTTATGACAGCTCGTTTTATTATTTTTTAACGGCTAGGACCCATGTAAGTTTTTTTTGTTATTCTTGTTCTCTGTAACTATTAATGTATATGTAAATTTGTGCCATTATTTTTATAACTGTTTGTGGTAAGACACCAATAAATGTTAAATTTTGTTTCTTAACATTTTGTTAATTTTTTTTAAACTAACCCGTTTTTGAGTTTTATTTGAAAAAGATATGTTTTTTATATTTAATAATTATTTCCCTAGTTACAACTAGTGGTTGTAATAGGTATAATTAGGCACCTCGAAGTGGCGCCCTATATTAAATTACTAGAGGTGTTTCCTGTTTCTTTTTGCTTTATTTGTCCTAAGAGATGACCATGACCCTTTGTTCCATTTTGTTTTGTAGTTGCCCCAATCCAACCCTTTGATTCTACTTATCCACGACCCCAGCTCTCCTAACAAACCCTGAGTGCCGTTCGCATATGTTTCGATTATTTTGCTTGCCCTATCTCCACCCCAATAGTTTCTGCCCCCAACTTTCAGACCCCATAGTAATACCCCATGTGGTAGGCAAAATATTTTCGTTACAATATATATATATATATATATATATATATATATATATATATATATATATATATATATATATAGTGGTCTACAGTTTCAAGACTGGCGTTGTCAATAACAATATTAGTTTGTAAATTACTCATTATTTTTGTTTTCTGTAGGTTCATTTTAAGACCTATTTTATTTGACTGCTGATTTAATTCCTTAAACATTTACTCCAGTTCCTTGATATCTGTACTAAATAATACTATGCCGTCCGCAAATCTCAAATGACTCCAACGTACACCATCAATGTTTAGACCTTTTTGCTCTCAGTCGAGCTGTTTAAATACATTTTCCAATGCTAAGGTAAAAAACTTTGGTGAGATAGTATCACCTTGTCTAATACCTTTACCAAGACTCATTTTTTCAGTTTTTTCGTCTTCATTGATTTTGATGTGGAATATGGCCTGTTCGTAAATGTTTTAATAACTGTAGTGTACCGTGAGTCTATTCGAGCATCCCTCAGGGCTGACAGGCCTCAGGGCAGGTCAAGACCAAGTTTCAATACTATCGAAAGCCTTGTGAAACTCAATATATACCGTATGTAGAGGTACATTATATTCTGTGGTTTTTTCTACCAGTGTTCTGATGGTTTGTAAGTGATCGTTAGTACCAAACCCTTTTCTAAATCCCGCCTGTCCAACCGGTTGATATAAATCAAGTTTTTGTGTTATGCGATTGGTTATTATTCTTGTTGGCAATTTGTATAAGTGTAACAACAAACTTATAGGTCTGTAGTTTTCAATATTAGTATTGTCTCCTTTCTTGTGTAAAAGTATTATTTCGGCGTTTTCCCACAGATTGGCTATTCTTTTTTCTGTTAGACGCTTATTCAACAAAATGACCACAACCTCTACAACGATGTTGCCGCCCATTTTTAACATTTCAGGCATTATACGATCCTCATCAGGAGCTTTTTTATTTTTCATTTGCTGTAAAGCAAGTCTAATTTCCGAAGAAGTTATTTTAGTGAGAGTATCAGAGCCGACGTTTAGAATTTTTCTATGGTCTGTTCCGGGTTTTTGTATAGTAGATGTATACAGATTCTCATAGACCGTTTGTATTCCCTTGATTATTTGAGTTTTTTCCGTCACCGTATTCCCCTGTATGTTTTTGATTTTAGTTATCTTTGATTTTCCTTTAGTTAAATTTGATTTCAATACTCTCATGTTTTATTGTTTTCGATGGTTTGCAATATTTGTTTTGTTTGATATACTTGTAAGGCTGACCTTGTGCGATTTTTAACTTTATTGTTGATATCCTTGTACTCTGGTGATTCTTTCGATGTACTTCTTTTTTCTTCCATTAAATCCAGTGTTTTTTGTTTCAATTTCGTTTTTCTCGAATTTTTATTTTTACCACAGATCTTTTTTTCAGTTGATGTTATGTCATTCGTTAATTTTTGTGTTATTTCATTTAATCTTTCGTGTTGAATACTGGTAGAGGTCCTAGTCTCTTTTTTAGTTCACCTTGATATTTCTCTCGATTCATTTCGAGTGCTTCTATGTTTGGTAATTTATCCTGTGTTAATAATTTTCTTCTATCGAATTTCGTATTTACTTCTATTCGCTCATTCACTAATCGATGATCACTACGTGTTGACAGAATTGAATACAGTAACATCTTTAGCAATGTTTTTGAAGTTAGAGAGTATAAAGTCAATTTCATTTCTTGCTTTACCGTCTGGGCTGTGCCACGTCCATTTTCTCTGCATCTTTTTCTTGTAGAATGTGTTTAAGCAGAATAGTTTTCTTTGCTGAGGAAATTTGCGAGCATATCTCCCCTGTGATTTCTACTTCCCAGTACAAAATTTCCAATATATTCGTTGTTGTTGTTATTTTCGTTCTTTCCTATTTTAGCGTTGAAATATCCCGTAATTAGTACGTAATAAGTTTCTGACTTTTCTAATGTCTTCATAAAGTTGTTCTACCTTTTTATCCTCTGCAGAAGAAGTTGGTGCATAACAGTGGATTATTTGAATGCTGTATCTACGATGTAGTTTTATTACAAGATAGACAACTCTATTAGAAATCTCTTGGAATTTAGTTACAAAGTTTTCAATTGTCTTATGTACCATACAGCCTACGCCTCATATACTTTGGTTATTTCCTGAATTGTATTGGTACAAAGTGTGCCCTGATTTTAGTAAAGTCGTTTCTTCGCCTTTAAGCCTTGTCTCGCATAAGACTAGTATGTCCCATTCTATGATATTAAGTTCTTCTTGCAGCTGTTCTAGATTATCTTCTGTCCTCACAGTTCTGATATTATATGTTCCGATGTGTATTCTGAGTGTACTAAGCGAATTCTTGCCTTGCCTCTGCCAGATTCCACGAGGCAGGCCCGTTTCTGGGTGTGGGATTTGGCATAACAAACTCCACCCAACTGGGGACTGTTTCCGTTCGTTTTAGTACGAGTTTTATATCAGCCGCCCACTCTGGGTCAGGCGCTGTTCGTGGCCGTCCATTTTGGATCAGACGCTACTGCCAAATCAGACGTGGCTGCCGTTGTGGACTTTATCTGTAACCCTGAAGAAGGGAACCTAAACAAGTACTAGTTTCCCAGGTCAGGAAACCCCCGAAATCTGTGGAGGGCAGGGATTGATTCATTTTAACTGATAGGACTATCTTCAAGAACTTACAGATTTCCTACCCGCTACCCGCTAATTTCTAACCACTGCAGCATAATGTGGACTTGCTCCATCCTGATGAAACCAAATGGTCGGATGTATTTGATCAGGATTATTGATATCTGGAAATGTTGCGGTTAAAAATGGATGACACAACAAATCCATTTAATATTGACATATCCAATGGTAACTACTAACTTACTGTATGGTTGCTAAGGAATTTGACATGTGTTTACAGCCTACTTGATTTTTGGCAATATACCGAGTACAGTCGTTACCACTTTATTTTATTGTATTGTTGATGTACAGCCCATTACAAAACTATTATCAGTAGTAATATCCCTAGGATATTGATAACAGACGAGATAATTTCATGACAATCGAAAGCTCGTTCCTTGGTAACAGCACGAAGCCGAAGGCTGAGTGCTGTTACCAAGCAACGAGCTTGAGAAATTTGTCATGAAATTATGAGGCATTCATCAATGTCCGAGGGATATTCGGCGGATAATTTTTCGAAAAAAAAAATCATAACTCAACATAACGAAACATTTATTTATTAAAAGTACAATTAGTGAAAGTACAATTATTAAAATTTAAGTTAACATTAGATTCGTTGCTGTTCTCTACTATAGAAGATCTATTACCACGCATAATATTTATAATCTTGTTGTGGTGTTCTTGATCGAGATTCAAGTATGGTTTTATAGAAACGTGACATTTTGAAATTTATTTGGATGAAGTTGTCAAACTCGATCGTGCTGTCATAGGGATTGAAAATTGCACTGAATGCAATTATCAGTCTAATGTTGACATGATTGGGTGAAATTGTTCCACATGACACAAAATGACGAAATTTGAATGGTTGTTAGAACAGTCGAAAAATTATCATTTAAATGCAATTGGTTATCTTTAATGGATAAACAATCTACCTTCTGTATCGTACAACAATAGGCCACTCCATTCGAGCGTTTGTTGTAATTATGTTATTTGTTTGTCTTTAATATAAAATGACTTCTTTAATAATTTTCTTTGTAAAATAAATTTTTAATTACATGTTAAGAAATACGAGCACTGGTTTCCTTTACACTCTGTATACTGAAGTTTGAATGTGATGAGTTTGGTACGGTTGTACTCAGAAAAATATGGGCTTTTAATTTTTTAGATAAAAATATGCCCTTTCTATTTAAAAAAAATGTCGATAACGTCATATATGCTAAGATAGTGGGGGTAAAAGTTATTTTTTTTTTGTTAAAAAACAAAAATTAAAATCGACCTGTCAGAGCCTTAACTCTGAAATAACTAAGTCATGAGATAATAGACCGTTTCTACACTTTATGAACAAACTGTATGGATAGTAATAGATGGCAAAAAGAGTGTAAAAACAAAAGATGGTATAACGACGAAACACGAAACCATTAAATTTCAAGAAATAATTCACTGGTTGGAAGAACAGCGGCATAATTCTTAAGAAAAAGCTGGTCAGATATTACCTATAGGACTGTCTAAAGTTATAGTTTTGTTTATTTAATGTTTTTTAAAAAAGTTTTTTTTCATACTTTTACCTTACGTTAGAGATGATTTTTTTATTATCTATTTGCCATTTAGAAATGACTGAAGCCCAGCTGTATCCAGCACCGAGTCATGTACCAGCTCCCACTGCCCCTCCAGAGACGATTCTAAGCAATGGAAACCATTTGTCTGCTCCACCAGAAGTGACAACTACAACAATTAGCCGTCTTTATCCGTCTAGTCGAAGAACATATTCTAAATCCGCCCCCATCATGGGTACCTCAGAGAGTAAACCTTCCGAAACTAAACTTATTAATCTTTTTGAGCAGTACAAGGATAACTGCGAAGATTGCATTCTGGCAGAAGGTAAGATATTTGAAAAATTAATAACAATTGGGAAACAATTAAACAATTGAAGAAATCGTAAGTAAATTTTTCTATTTTTATGCAATGTTTTTAATAAGATATATGAAATTTATAAGACTAATAGAACAGTAAGAGATTGCATAATTTCACAATGTTTTATTCTTTTTCATCAAGCTAGTGGCATCTTTCGAAGTAATCTCTCATGCTATCCTAATGATTTAAGTTATTGAACTCAGTTTTTTTATTTTAATGACACTCCAGTATCATTGCCGCACTCGTTTGAATCGTCTGTATTTCGTCTTTCTATTGTATTTTATCGAACGTTGTCCTTTTTTCTGGAAGCCGGTCTACATCGGTTGTACTTATGCCAATTGGCTTATTGTATTACATTAATTCGGCAGACCTGCTATATACTCTGTGCTATATGCTCTGCGCCAACCCTCGATGAACCTTTTATTTGGCCCTAACTCAATGCTCTTTTGCGATAAGGCGACATCGAGATCTCTCTTAGCGACAATAAGTTTAGAGTTTGGATACTAAGTTTTGATTGGAGTGATTCAGACCGATTTGGGACAGATACACAGATACAGTCTGCTACCCTGGCGGCGGGTCTGACCGTTCGCTTTACATTTTTATTTATAGATTCAGAAAGTTACGCATTTCTGTTCAAAAATATGTTTCTGTAAAAATATGTATTCTGTTGAAAATATCGGTTAGAATCAAAACTATCAAGTAGAGTGGGACAGTGTGGTATAAAAGGAAATGTATAGGGGGTTTGTTAACTATTTGTCACTATACCATTTTTCAAACTAAAAACGTTTCACGTCACGATTTATACAAAGTGACGTTACTTGTATTTAAAATTTCCAGAAGATCCACCCTAGAGTTAAAATTTTTCTTCTTTTTCTTCTTTTGGTGCCTATTATCTGTGAATGTTGGCAATCACGTTGGTCCTTACAACTTTGTTGACAGCTGCTCTAAATAGATGTATGGTAGTCATTCCTGCCACTGTCTTATGTTCTTCAACTACGATGTCCTTCTGCGCCCATAAGATCTTTTGAGTTCTATCTTGCCTTGTAAAATTAGTTGAATTAGTGAGATGGCAAACATGGGACAGTCACAGTACAGAGTTGTCAATACTTTATAACCTTATACCAAGTCTGTTTACCTATGAGTTTGTTTTGATCAATTTGATTCGCAATAAATACTTATGTATAACTTTAATAAAATGTATTTATAAATACATAAATTAATATAGCCTAATAGCTTTACAAACTAATTATTTTTTTGTGTACTAAAATGCCTAAACAACTAAATAGTCTTTGTCGAGAACTGGTTTAATGGAATATTTTGAACAAGAGCGAAATAATGGCGGCCCTTTTTTACCATTGAATGCTATGAGGAAAGTAATTTCTTTTTCTTCAGTGCCTTATCCGGCCCCGATTTTGCGATCATCAAGATGGTTTTGTTGACTGCTCTGCGAAACACCTCCGCGGAGGTCATCCCAAACCATTGTCGGAGGTTTTTCAACTACGAGATACAATGGCGTCTCGGTCCTCTCCTGCCAAATACTTTACCCTGCATAACGAGTTGAAGAATTCAATATTTTTCTTCGTTCCGCATCACGTGGCCGAGGTACTCGAGCTTACGTTGCTTCACTAAATTAAGCACTTCTTTTTCTTTTATCATGCGCTGTAGGACCTCAACGTTGGTGACATGGTCCACACACGATATTTTTAGTATCCTCCTGTAGATCCACATATCGAAGGCTTCAATCCACTTTTCAGTGGCTTGAGTTAGTGTCCAGGTTTCAAATCCATATAGTAACACTGGAATAATGTAACACACTACTATTCCCATCTTGGTTCCCAAACAGATCACTGCAGCACAGCACGGATCTCAGCTTGATAAATGTAGACTGTGCTATTTCAATTCTGGATCTAATCTCTTGAGCGTAGTCCCATTGTGAGTTGAGGGTAGTTCCGAGGTAAGTGAATCTGTCGGCTCGGGATCTCTCCGCTACCTGCCATTAGTGCCCCTGGATCTAAATTTACACGGCTGACAACCATGAATTTAGTTTTCTCAATATTAAGGTCTAATCCGTATGTAACGCTCACAGTTCTCACTCGGTCTAGTAGATCATTTAGGCGGGTTGCTAATAATACAGAGTCATCGGCGATAAAGGTAAGGCACCTTGTGTAGGGTTGTTAGTTTGCGAGATACAACGCGAAAACCCTTTCCCCTTATTTTTCCAAGATGGCGGCCGGGACAAGGATGGCAATCCCACAAACTTGAACTTAAGTTTATACTTACACTCCCGCTAAGCATAAAAATGTGACATTTTAATGGACTATAAATATTAATTACTAATTAAGATTACTAAGGAAACTAAAAATTAATACTAAGTAAATTTAAACATAATTTAATTAGTTTTATTTATTATTATTTCAGTTGATGTTTGCGTATAAATAACATTTTACATCAGATGCTGACTGTTTAAATCCCATCAACATTTGACGGTAATAGGATCTGCACAGATATCGCTGACGTAGTACATATTTCTTTGTCGGTAACAGTTTTTAGATAGAGTCGGACAATTTTCAATTAAAGGTGACTAATCTACAAATTGAACTAAACGGTAGCGGCAACCATGTAAAATTTCATTAGCAAATTCTTACCGGGGTCATTTTTATTGTGTATGCTTCGCCCATGTAAATAAGCGAGAAAGTAAGATAAATTTGCCCCCGTAACGATATAAATTGGTGCGATTCACGAGTGTGTATAGTGAGACAAGTTCATTGAATAGTTTAAAACATCGGTAAACTAATCAATATTTTGCTGGTCTATATATATTTACGTTCTTAGAAATAATGTTAATGAGAGAAATATGATATCTTAGTTTATTCCTTCCAGATTATATACATATGTGCATAGGCGTAGTGTGTTCTTGGGAATAAATTTATTAAATAGACTTTATTATTAACTTTAAAATAGTTTTGATGCATGTAAAGTAAATTTGAGGCCAGTTTATTCTTTATATAGTATTAAACCATTAACGGCCGCTCAATATACAAAGAGAAATTTTACAATTAATTTATTAGATTGGATTAAAATCACATAAATTAGGACTAATTTACAACCAAAAAGATTTTTTTCTCATTTTCAAGGAAAACAGTACAATTTTTAATAAAGAAACATATTGTATCTTCAATGTAAATTAAATTTTAAGGTGAAAATTTTCGAAAAATTCGGGGTGTAGATGCATTCTACACTTTTTACATAAATAAATAGTATTATTTTTGCACATCCTACATTTTTGCACTATCGTCTCTTTTTGTAATGTGGCCAATATTGTCGAATCTGGTTTCATCTGGTAAAACAAATTTAGATTGACGTCCATGTACTAAGTGACACTGATGTAGCGGTTTCTTCACTATTATAAATATAAATCTATCGGCTCATGCTTTCCTCATCCTTTGGCCAATGCATATCAACTTGAAGCAGAGTGTAAACCAGATAATATACATACGCTAATATATTTTTTTAAATCTATGTTATTCATTTCAAAATTGTGACGGTTATCCTGGGATTCATAAATATTTGTAAAATATAGAATGCTCTCAATTACTTTTTTATCAAAAAGAGTGAAAAAACTAATATATGACTTGCCTACATGGTTGGCTTTTATATTGTCTAAATATCAATTAGACTGGTGTTGAATTACTACTGAGCACGAATGAATATCTGTTGTACATGATAACTTTGGATTTACTATTTTTGCCTAGTTTTTTCTTTGGACGTTTTATCTGTGGTTATATCATAATCAGAATCGTCACAATTCCCAATCACTTGTATTCCATAGTTACCTGCTATATCCGATTTTATTGATTCTTCACAAATAATATCAAAATCAATGTCTTCAAGGAATACAATAACATACCAACAAACGAATGGGAATGATACCTGACGGAACTGTTTAAAGCAAAGAAAAATAATAATCAACACAATAACGTACCTGAATTAAGACACGAAATAGAAATCAGTTTTCAGGAAGTAGAAATAGTCATAAATTCACTCAAAAATAGAAAGTCGAGCTTCTAAAATACGGAAGAGAAAGTATAACCCTAGAGATGACAAAACTTATACAAAAACTAATATTGCACTGCAAGATACCAGACGCATGGAGAAACAGCATAATGATACCAATGTTCAAGAAGAGATAAAGAAGACGCCGTATTTGTACTTGAAGACAAATCACAGAAAAGGCCATCGAGTACAATAAACCAGCATATCTATGTTTTATAGACCTGACATAGGCTTTTCGATCGCATCCAAGTCGAAGACGTCTTCCACCTACTGTATAAGAGAAACGTACCAATCAATATTATACAAACCATCGAAAGCATCTACCTCCATAATCGAATACAGGCAAAGATAAATGGAAAACTAACACAGAGTATACCAGTACAAAGTGGAGTCAGACAGGGTGACTCGTTAAGCCCACTTCTCTTGAATATAGTAATGGACGAAATAATACAAGCAGTACGTAAAGGTCATGGCTACAGAATGGGGAACAAAGAAATCCAAATATTATGTTATGCAGACGACGCCGCATTAATCGCCGAGACAGAAGACGAGCTCAAAAGATTAACACATATCTTCAATACAACAGCTAAGAAATACAATATGATAATATCAGCAGAAAAATCCAAATGTATGTAATCCAAAATATCCAAACATCTAAATACCCACTACGTGTAAAATCAAATTGATGGAAATAATAAGCAAGGTTAGATATCTGGAATAGATATAACTAGTTCCGGAGATGTTTAAGAAGAAGTACGACAGCAAAGCTTAAAAGCAAGTAAAGCGGCGGGTTCTCTTAATGACACAATCTGGAAGAACAAACACCTAAGACGAGACACAAAAACAAGAGTCTATAAAGCAGCAATTAGACCCATATTAACATACACGGCGGAGACAAGACCTGCCACATCTAAAACTAGACGACTGCTAGAAACAACAGAGATGAAAATACTCCGACGAATATCACGGAGAAGTCTGTTGGATAGGGAGAGAAGCGAAAACATAAGAAGAGCATGCAATATAGAAGACATAAATGGATGGGTGACAAAACGAAAACAGGAGTGGAACGAACACATCGTAGATGGCGGATGATAGTACGAATAGCACGGATAGTCACCAATGGACGAAGAAGTATTGGCAGACCAAGAAAAAGATGGTGCGGCAATTTAAACAATTTAGGAGGCTTATATTGAAGAATAAACAGGCCTTAAAGCCTACATACTAGAAGGAAGAAGAAGAAGATCAATGTCTTCTACATCAGAAACTTTCTATTCTAATCTCGGCGGCAAATAAACCACATTAAGTGAGTCAGCATTTTCACAATCTGAGTTTTCTTCTCACAAAGCTTTTAACTCTTTATAGTAGTTAGTGCATCTTCATTTCATATTTCGAGAATTTACTGAAATAAACAAATGCACTACTATATAAAAGCATTCACATGATAATAGTTTAGATTACTTCATTGTAGTTTATATGAACTTCATAATATATTTTCATATTTATATAAACAAATAAACACAAGGAAACTTTCAAATTAAGTTAAAAAAAAAACAAATATAACGTTTACAGTACACAGCAATTCTATAAATAGAGAATGATGTGTAATGATATGTAATTAAAATTTCAGATTGTTTTTAGTCTAATGAAAAAAAAAAATAATAAATATTTTCAAAAGTTTTCTGTTATTTGAAGTTCTATATTAGATACACTCTAATAAGAATAAATTTTACTTTTTTTTAGACAAGTATAAGGTACATAAAAGGCACATGATAATTTAATAATTAATCGGTCTTAGATTTAATTTTTACGTAATTACTTATGTGTTTAAATAAATAATTAACTTTTTTTTTGGTAGGCCTCTGCAAAATTGATAAGTTGAATACGATTTCGTTGAAAGTTATCGTTAAGGCTTCGTTAAGTGCGATGTTGCCAAGTAATCACCTTCAATTAAAAATTGTTTTAGTATAACATATCATTTTCATATTTATGGATGGAATCTTATTTTTTTTTTTTTAATAACAATATGTTCTTGTAACGGCATAACTTTGATTATTTGGTAAACCTGCATTACCCATCATCATCATCATCACGTAGCGCTACAACCCTGGGTGGGTCTTGGCTGACTGTACAACTTTTTTTTAAATTTGTTCGGTCTTCCATCAACCTAGGGTCAAATGAATGTCATTTTCCGGAGATCTGCTTGGATGTTATCTCTCCATCGCTTTCTGGGACGTCCGAGTGGTCTTTTGCCTGTGGGAATCTCCTCCCATACCAGTTTTACAAGTCTTTCGTTATGCAGTCTATGCACGTGGCCTGCCCATCTTAGTCGCTGTGATTTAATTTCTTGGACAATATCGGCGTCGTTGTAGAGTGCTTTTAATTCGATATTGGTTCTGATCTTATACTGGTTTGTGGTGATGTCATGGTGAGGTCCGAAAATGTTTTCTAAGTATTTTTCGTTCAAAGCGTCTGAGCTTTTCTTCGTTTGCTTTGGTCATGGTCCACGTTTCGCATCCGTATGTTATTACAGGTCTGACGATGGATTTATAGATTTTGATCTTTGAACTTCTTGTAAGATTTTTTGATTTTATGTGCTTATCCAGTGCAAATAGACAGCGGTTTGCAGATTGGATTCTGTCTTTTATTTCTTCAGTGACATCGTTGTCAGCTGTGATTACGGCCCCCAGATACTTAAAACGTTGTACTCTTTCGAAATTGAAGGTGTTGACCGTCACATTTTGTCCTATTCTGTCTCTTCGTGTCGTTCTATTTATACACATATATTTCGTCTTCTCTTCATTAATCTTCAGCCCTACTTCACTTGTTGCTCCTTCCACCTTGTTGAAAATGTCTTTCGTGGATAGGATGGAGTCTCCAACGAGATCTATGTCATCTGCATATGCGAGTAACAGCTTGGGACCTTGAACCGATAGCAATTCTGTTTTTATTTCGGCCGACCTCATGGCTTTCTCTAATACAAGGTTAAAAAGTAGTAGGAGATAACGCATCACCCTGTTTAAGTCCACTGTTGATTTCAAAGCTGCCAGACAGTTTATTATTTACACGTAATTTAGATATTCCACCCTCCATACAGACTTTGGTCATCCGAATGAGTTTCTTTGGTATTGAGAACTCCGCCATGGCATTCCATACTTGGCTTCTTTCTACCCTATCATATGCCTGTCGAAAGTCTATGAAAAGATTGTGTATGGGTCTGTTATACTCCCATCCCTTTTCTAGAAGTTGTCTCAGCGTGAATAGTTGATCTATTGTTGATCTGTTTGCCCTAAACCCGGCTTGATATTCGCCTAGGACATTTTCAGCATAAGGGATTAGTCTACTAAGAATGATGTTTGAGAGGGTGCTTAGAAGTGAGATTCCTCTATAATTCGCGCATTTTGTTTTGTCCCCTTTTTTGTGGATGGGCATTATTATGTTTTCCTGCTTCGTGCTGGTATTCTTTCTTCTAACCATATGTACGTTATTAGCTGGTGGATTTGGCGATGTAGTGCGTCTCCCCATATTTCTTAAGTTCTGCTGGTATCTCGGTCTTCCGGTCTTCATACATGGTCTTTACGTTACCATATATCTACAATGACAAAGTATTGATTGATTTCTATTCTAGTACCGTCCTCGTATTTATACTTTTAATTATACAATCAAGTGTATTTTTTTCAATGTCGCTCGTTGATTGTAGGTTCACGCGGCTCTATGCACCTTCAATTATAAATCATGCGTATATTGACTTATTCTAATACTATAAGCCTTTTTGCTTTTAATGTTAAAACCTTACTACAACAGGAAAATGGAAAATATTATTTCAAACATCTAATTTATTATTTTCACTGTGAGATCTGAGCAGAAAACAATTTTGTTATTAGAACCATCGCAAAACTGTACATGTTAAGAGTGGAGAGTTGTGGGAATGTAAGAACAGTTCTTTTCTCGATTAGGACGAGCTTTAAAAGAAAATTGTTTGGTTCTTTAAATTATCTTAAATAATTATAAGTCATATTACGTTAATTTGTATATTTATCACTTGCATTTTACAGGTATCGAACAATTCTGCCAAGATCTACAGATATCTCCTGATGATTTCAAGATTTTAGTACTAGCTTGGAAACTTAATGCCGAACAGATGTGCCGGTTCACTCGTTCAGAATTCGTTAACGGACTGAAATTTATACGTGCCGATTCAATAAAAGCTATTCAAACCCGATTGCCCGAACTAGTTAGTGAAATTGAACACAACTACGAAATGTTTAAAGACTTATACCGGTTTACTTTTCGTTTCGGACTAGACTCTTCTTCCGGCCAAAGGATCTTGCCGACGGATATGGCCATTATCCTCTGGAAACTTGTATTCACGATACGGGAACCACCCATTCTCAATAGATGGATTAGCTTCCTGGAAACACATCAGATGATCAGAGGCATTCCGAAGGACACTTGGAATATGTTTTTAAATTTTTCCGATCATGTCGGTAGTGATTTGAGCTGCTATGATGACAATGAGGCTTGGCCAAGTCTGTTCGACGATTTCGTGGAGTACGAGAACGACCAGGCCAATCAGAATATATCGAAGGATATTGAAAAAGAGTCTGAAGGACTTATTATAACAAAAGATTACTAGTTTGTTGATGTACTTTCATTTATGAACAAACTGCCTAATTAATTTCAAACAGTGGGGTTTTGATTTTCTAAAAGTGTGCGAAAGATTTTAGAATATTTTACAAAAAATACAATGGCAAAAAGGGAACATTCAACTATCATATCACAAATATATTAAAGTAATCGTAATAAATAAGTCTTCTATTTTCCACATATGTTTTATCTTATTTACAGTTTATTTCATTAGTTTAATAGGCGATTATGTGGTAGGCTACTCGATCTGCAATTAAAATACGAATTTTGTGAAGTGCTACAAATATTTCATACTCTTTATGGAGTCGAATTTAATTGATGCGTAGACTCTAAAAATTTCCAGTTTGAAGAGTTTTAAAGCATTTGATACCTGGATATGTAGACGAATGTTACTAATACATTGTACTTCTCACACCATCAACTTGGAATTTCTCCAAGAAATAAGCAAAGATCATGATCTCATTAAAAGACATGCAATAAGAAACAACAGGTACGATTTTTAACAGCTCGTAATCGATGGTAAAATTGAAGGCTAACGTAGACCAGGACAGACAGTACCTACTGTGAACTTAAAAACATATGATACTGGATGGGCTTAGGCTCGAACGATTTGCTGACCCAAAAGACACAAAACACAGAAGAATTTGCCAAAATTGTTGGCCATCTTCGATAGGAGAAGGCACTCGAAGAAGAAGAATAGACGATGGATTAATAATTGTTACGGTTTACTTTTAAATTACTTTTTTATGTATAATATACTGATCTATTGATTGCTATATGTGAACGCAGAGCAGACAAACGTAGTAGAGGAAGACCACCTACACATTGGGCTGACGACATGAGGCGTATTACCAAAAATTGCCAACAAAGAGCATAAAATCCTGAAGAATTGAAGAGTTTAAGGGACGCCTATGTCCAGCAGTGTATGTGATAAATGAAGTCTGGATGATGTAACATGTAAATCACAATGTCTATTTAAACTTTTTGGTTATAATGAGTCAAAACAATTCTCATTCTTCCTCCCACACATTCATCGGGAAAGAAACACCCACACGAACCACCAAAGACTTTCAATCCCCTGTCTTAGCGAGGCTGCCATATCTCTCGATTCGTGTCCTGAAGAAGATACAAGTAGTAATGCTACAGGAAATAAAAGTATAGTGAAACGTTGAGATTTGTATTTTAACATTTTTAGATCAATGTTAAAATTAGTTTTGTGAAGTTGTTTTCTATACATATTTGTTGTCTTTGAGATTTAATTTCTAGAAGAATTATTATTGTGTTGTTATAATACTAAACATACACACTTGTTATACTTTTCTAGGCCTATTCCTTTTTGGATATTGTGAGTTATCTTCTGCCGACAAGCGACATATTTTACTATTTCCGAAGTAAAACTACTTTTAATGGTTTTTAAGTGATATCATTATGATAAGCTCTTTTGTTATTTCCTGCACTCTTGTGCTTAGAGGCTTTACGTTCCAAGTAACGATGCGAATTATATTTCTCGTTTTCCATAAATTCGTTGTCCTCTTTCTTTCATTAGTTGTCGTAATGAGATCATTCCTGTTCCGAGACATAATCCTGTTTCTATGAGTTGTATGGTTTTAAAGTCTTATCAGTAGGGTGCTAACTTGGCTATAGACCCCCTCCTCCTTTATTTGGCCTTGGGACAGGAACATTCTGTCGAGCTACTCGGTCCACCCAACAAAACTGCAGGCGGAGTTGAATGCTAATTCTACTATTCAAAAAAAGAGATAAAAAACAGCCAGAAAACTAAATACTACGCTAAAACTTACAACTAAAATTTTACAAGTGCTAATAAATCAGAGGATAAGGTTAGCAGATGAACAACAGTGTAGTGGAAGATCGTGTACAGGTGCAATATTCGTTGTAAAGCAAATTACTGAGAAATCACTAGAGTATAATAGACCAGCATTTCTGTGTCTGATTGACCTAAAGAAAGCTTTTGACAGAGTAAGACTCAAAAATGTAATCCATCTTCTGTATAATAGAGAAGTTCCCCTAAATATTATAAAAAGTATCGAAAACATCCACCAAAACAACAAAATGGAAGTCAGAATAGATGGACAACTTACAGAACCTATAGAAATAGGCAGCGGAATAAGACAAAGGCATTCATTGAGACCCATGCTCATCAATTTGTTCATGGATGAAATTATCAAAACCGTTAACAAAGGAAGAGGATACAGAATGGAAAACAAAGAAATCAAAATACTCTGTTACGCAGACGACGCAATATTGATAGCCTAAGATGAAGATACATTTACAATAAGACAAATGCTTGAAAAGTATTGGGAATATAATTACGACGTGCATCAGATTTTTATAGACTTCAAACAAGCTTAAGATTCGATTAATCGTGCAACATTATGGAAGGCAATGATCGAGCTCGGCGTACCCAAGAAACTAGCTGCGGTAACACAAATGTGTGTAAGTAACTCTTTTGCACAAGTTAGAATAGGGGGGAAAATATCAAATGCTTTCTGCGTAAATTCTATACTGAGACAGAGAGATCCGTTGTCCCCATTGTTGTTTAACCTGGCCTTAGAATATGTCATGCGAAAAATCTATCCAAAAATCAAACCAGACATAACTGCTCGGGGAGCAAAAATCATACTCGCCTTTGCCGATGACGTAGACGCAGTAGCACAATCAACATTAGAAATTAAGGATATTTTCTCGAGCTTTGAAGAAGCTGCATTAAACATCGGTCTAAAAATCAATGAAGACAAAACAAAATACAAGGTCGTCTCAAAACAAGAACGACGGCGAATAAGGCAAAACATTACTATAAATGATCATAACTTCGAAGTGGTTAAAGAATTTAAATATCTAGGAGCAACAATCACAAATGACAACAAATTAGAGCGAGAAGTTGAAACGAGAATAATGGCAGGAAACAGATCTTTCTTTGCAATGCAACATCTAATGAAGTCAAAACTTTTTTCACGGGATACAAAAATCCGGATCTATAAGACCATAATACAACCAGCAGTCGCGTATGGAAGCGAAACATGGACGCTTGGACGGACAGATACAATAACGAGCTAGAGTCTCTATTCGGAAAAGAAAATCTAGTCAGGTATATAAAGGCCAATAGACTCAGATGGGCAGAGCATGTGATACGCAGTAACGACAATCGCCTTATAAACAATGTATTCTGGGAAAGGCCAGATGGAAGGTCTGTAGGGCGGTCTAGAAAAAGGTGGAAAGATGCAGTCAAAAAAGATCTAGAGAAAATGGGAGTGCGACAATGGGAATTACTGGCACAGGACCGACAAACATGGAAGGCAATAGTAAACGCAGCAAAGACTCACGAAGAGTTGTAGCGCCATTGATGATGATGATGAAGATGAAGATAGTCTGAAAAGACTGGTCCACATATTTAACATAAGAGAAAAGAATTTAATATGACAATTTGATCTCAGAAAACTAAAACAATAGAAGTCAGCAAAGAACCAACCAGATGTGAAATAGAAATTGATGGCATCAGTATTGAGCAAATAGAGAGAAAGAAAATACCTGGGAATTACACTGTCTACCTAGAGAGAACTGGACAAAGAAGTGAGAGATCAAGTACAAAAAGCAAATAGACTGGCAGGATGCCTTAATAACACTATATGGCGAAACAGACACATTAACACTGAGATGAAGTCAAGAATTTATAAAGTCAGTGTAAGACCAATAATGACATATGCCTCGGAGATAAGACCCGACACAGTCACAACGCAAAGGCTACTGAAAACGGCAGAGATGAGAGTATGAGCAGAATTACAGGAAATATGCTAAGAGATCGAAAGAGAAGTGAAGACGTTAGAAGAAAATGTAACATAAATTGTATAAATGAATGGACACAAAATAGAAAAAAAGAATGGAATAACCACATAATCAGAATGGAGGAGACCCGTGTCGTCAAATTAGTAAGAGATAAGTCACCAATTGGCAGAAGAAGTATCGGACGACCGCGCAAAAGATCGAGTGACAACCTTTTATAGAGGTGTTAATCCGCCAATGAACAAGCAGAATTGCTTATAACCCAAAGTACCAAAGGAAATCATATTGTTCTCATATTGATTTCCTGTGGTATTAGCATCAATTCCTATAATATCAATATTTCATTAGGAATAACCTACAAAATATTTAATATAGGGAAAAGTGTATCTAGAATTTGATGGTTTACTTAAATAATATATTCCTCTAAATATATGCATCTTAAAATTACACATTGTTGATTCTTCACTTTACAGCTGTATTAGTGTATTTGCGTTAAAAATTTCAATATTCGCCATTTTGTAAATTAAAACCCAACACAAATTCACTGTTTGAAAAAAATATATATTTTATATGTAAAATATGCAAATGAATTTGTTGTGATATGATTGTAGCTGTTTCGAAGTAATTTTAAAAATGAAAGCCAACTTCATCGTCTACCATACTTGTAGGTTATCTGAGGTTATGCAATAGAAATATTTGATATGTTTTTGAAGCTTGTTTCGTATATCGCACCCCCAGAAGAATACTGCTTTTTTTTCCAAAAATGGAGTTTTTGGTTATTGATATTACTTTTCATTGGTAAATTATTCACACTTGTTCCATTAATACACTTACCGGCAAAATTAACGGAACACCTTAAAATTGGGACATGTTAGATGTCTCGAATTTCCTAAACCTGTTGTCCGATTTTAGTGATTTTTTTAGTATGTTATAGGTATATTATTTAAGAATATCGATGGAATAATATTGTTGCTAGACAGGTCAATGTCATTTTATACCGGGTGTAACAATCCTACTGTGTTTTTTCCTTAAAGTTCGGAACACCCTGTGGAATATTCTAGCATATATAAAATACTGAAATTAAATCTTAATTATAGCCTCAGGCTTTCTTAACATTTTCTTTTTTGATTCATTTGCTTATGTTTGATAATAAAAAAGTTAGGTACGTTAATAATTAGCCATGTTTTTCAT